TGCTTGACAAATGTAGCTCAGCGCAAGTTCAATCAGGAAGACCAATATCCTCTGGTGTTACACGTCACTTCAATACTCTCTCATTAAGTCATCAGGGGCTAGCCCAGTGGTTCTCAAACTTTTTCTGTCAGGCCCCCCCTTTGGAGAAAAAAAAAAGTCGGGCCAGAAGATTTTTAAATATTGAAGTTAAAAGCATCAATCTGGTGCACTTTGAGAGCAAAATTAAGAGATCTATGGATACATCTCTCAACATAGAACTGTAAACAGATTTACTATTCCTCTATGGATATTTTACAAATCACTCCAATTTTAAACTTTATTCATTTTTTAATGTCATATAGTATTTCATACCTGTTTTTTATTTATTCTCTTATTTTTGTATAACTATAATGATCATATCATGTTTGTGTGCCTCGAAAATAATTGTTTACATTAATGGAGACCCACTGAGATAACACTGAGAGAGTCCTTTAGCTCACTGAGTCTCACAGTCTGACAGGAGAGGACTCTCCTCCACTTTGTTGTTGAAAAAACTCCTTATATCCGTTAGCGTAGCTCGCTAGTACCAGAAGCTAACAACGATCTCCGGTAACGGTGCGCACAAAAAATGGCTCGTTCCACACACACACAGAGCCGAGCTTTAATGAAACACAGAGACCCAGACGTAATAGTACTGTATCATATTATTTTCGAATCAATAATTTTTTCAAAATATGATCTTTTTTTTTTTTTTTTTTTTAAATAACCATTTTTCCTCCTGGTCTCTCGCGCCCCCCGTCACGTCTCTCCTGATTGAAATAGAGACAATAGAGCATTACAGCGGAAGATAGCTTTTGCTTAAGTGTTCAGTTAGGTATTTTACCTCCTCATGCTTTCCTTCCTGTCTCCACTGGTCAGACACGTGTCCAGATGCTTGTTGATAAACTGTTGCGGCACACTTACAGAGCACACAGGGCACTCCACTGAAAAACAAAATGGTAAAGATATTACAAGCAGCTTAGTTAGAAAAAAAGAAAACATTTTAAATCCATATCAGATACATTCCGATTCCAATCATTTTTAAGGATTGCACCAAACGGACCCTTTCTAAGTTCTATATGCAAACACACGAAAATTACTTTCACAAAAGTAAAGATGGTTATTCTTCAGTGTAATGGCTTTAAGCGGGAATGTATTAAAAGGGCTTTTCTTTTTAAATAGAAGCAAGAGTAGTGGGCAAGTAATGGATTCAGGGAATGCTCACAAAACTGCATATCGATAACACCCACTACTCTGGAAATCCTAACCAGGTATAGAACGCAGAGGTCAAACAATATTAAAACTAAAGGTAACCTTTACTCTGTTTTTTGTATGAAGAACGTAAATGTTGTATAATGATTGGATAATTAGCTTTAAATAAGTTAGTGTTGACCATCAAGTTAAGACATAGGCCTTGTTTCGCCTGCTTTGTACACACGAGACACATTTTTAAATTGAAAAGTGAATGTAATCCATAAATAGGGTCACAGTAAATGACATCAGCTTTTACATTATTCCCATGTAGTATGTGGCATCATCAAATTGTTCTGTAGTCTCTTCTGCTCATGTTACGGTATACAACTGATCTAATGCAATAATTACCAAACAGCTCTTCCATCGTTGTGATCATATTGAGTAAGACTGTGAATTTGGGAGTGAGTTAAGAAGCTAACTAGATAGGGTGAGTCACACTGGATGATGCAGCGCTCTTCATCTACAGGTAGAAAGGCTTCACCTTTGATTACGGGCTTTATGTCTTTCGATAGTGACGAGGAATGTGCCATCGCATGCCCGGTGCTGATACTGTGCGGGACTCCTGCAGCCTCCTGTTTGACTGACATCAAATTCTGGATAGATGACTCCTCCTCATCATCATCATTCGGCTCTTCCTTCACAACCACTGGAAGTCGTGCAGTTGCTGAATGTAGGTCAGCGTCATTTGCATTGTCGGTGCGTACAGTCTGTATTTTACCCCGCCGAGTTAACTGAGAATCAGAAGTATCGTGCCGTTTTTTTTTGGCGGGAGATGTTTTAGGCATCTTTTGGAAAAAGTTACTCAAAACAGCACTGTTACACTTCTGGCCCCTCTGTTTGGGAGTTCTGCATTCGACAGCTGAAGCTGGGGCATTTGGGGATATTGGAGGAGTGTTAAAATGTGCTTTTGACAACTGCTGCCTGGAAAAAAGAAGAAAAGGCAAATTAAAGTTAAACGAATGCACATTCATCACAGACAAGTGTATCATTACATTGAGTATAAGGTAAAGCAGTTATGGCTCTCTTAAAAACATATTGAGCTCATTAAAATGAGAAGAGCCAATGAACACCGGAGACAGTAAAATAAGCTCTTTGACGTTAGACTGCACCTGCTCAATTATCTCGCTGCTTTTCTACAGAGCGAGAAAAAGTGGGCAGTTTGGCTACACTCTTGGAAATGAGGAAAGCAAACAAATTGTAGCTAGGCCATTACTCAGCACTAAAATGGAACCAATGAGGTGTGTAATGTTCTGCTTTCCATATCTAGAACTTATTTGTGCTTACTGTCCCCATTAGAGCAGTTTTACACACACATGCATGCGCACAGACGTGGCAGAGCCGATTTGCACATATGTTATGTGATAACATCTGCTCTGTTCCTATTGAAGTAGTATGCTCTCCCCCTACCATTTATCTGTAACACTGCATTCAGCCATGTTTAACCAGGGTGTCCGCGGGGTCTTAAAAAGTATTAAAAGTTGATAAATCAATTTAGCGAAAATTAAGGCTATTAAAAAGTATTAAAAAGTATTAAAAAGTATTAAAAAGTATTAAACGGCATTTTCCAAGGTATTAAGAAGTCCCACAGCAACGACAACATGAAACACCCTTTAATTTACTGAAACGACATGTCGGGAAACCCCCTCAAGGCGGCCCCATGCATAGCGCGCCGTAAAATGCTGCTTCTTATTTTAAGTTTCGTTGCCTTGCTCCGCTCTGTGGGGGGGGGGGGGGTCCCAAGGTGGGTAGACCGACATACGCAACGCTCTGGGGGCCCAACGGCTCCGTGTGTAAGCCCTATATGATCATTTTCTGATAACGATGAAATAGCCCGCCTCCCTCTCCCCACGTCTCCTGCTGCTGCTGGGCTGTCAGAAGAGGGGGAGGAAAAGAGAGGCAGTCACCGTTTATTAAATATTATTATATTATTATACAGAGAACAGAGTCGTTATCAATTTGTTTTAAAGCTCAATAAATAACAAAGAAGACCTCTGATCTGCACTTTTCTAATTTTGTACGGAAGATTTAAACTTTAACGGACATGTTGACCGGCGAAAAAATTTTTTAACGGCAACTGCACGGTTCCCTCGTCCCTTGGAAGAGGCGGAGAGGTGGGTGTTTTTCATCTGCTGGTGGAC